TAATTCCGACAAATAAATAAATTGTTTCCGAAATTTTAAAATCTAGAATCCAAAGCAACACCTTTTTTCTCATACGACACGCGAAAAAACCTTCCTCATTTTCGGTGTCCACCCCCCTTGATCCAGAAGATTCTCGAACATTCTAGAAAAGGGGAGGCGTCGAAAAAGCCTGTGAGCGACGCAGTGTGTTGCTGCGCGGAGACGCAGACAGAGGGGAAGGAGAGAGAAGAGGCGCGTGAGAAGAATAGGAAAACGAATTCAGGAAGCTTCTGAAAGGTTCTAGAATCCGTCACTCCGAAAGTATATAAACCGGGGCTTTTGTGAAGATGTCACCCTCAGAAGAATATAATTCTACTGTTCTCACTACAAACTACAAACAATGTCTTCGTGCAAAGCTATCGGTATCGACCTCGGTACCACATATTCCTGTGTTGGAGTCTACCAAAATGGAAAGGTAAGTTGATATTTTCTTTATTACTCTTTTCAGATTTCAATTATTTGTATTTTCAGGTTGAGATTCTTGCCAACTCGGAAGGAAACAAAACCACACCATCCTATGTTGCATTCACGGACACAGAGAGACTCGTTGGAGATTCAGCCAAAGATCAAGCCGCCCGAAATCCAGAGCATACTGTATTCGATGCAAAGCGATTGGAAGACGTTTCGACGAGTCAACAGTCCAGGAAGATTGCAAGCATTGGCCGTTCACTGTGAAATCAAAGCAAGGAAAACCAGTGGTGGAAGTTGAAGTCAAAGGAGAGAAATGTCAATTCAATCCAGAGGAAATCTCAGCAATGATCCTTCAGAAAATGAAGGAAACTGCGGAATTAGTTTCAGTTATAAGTTACCTTCTTTGACAGAAAATGTTTGGGAAGGTTTGAAGTAAGATTTCTAGATTCAATGTGTTTCATGTTGTCGTCATTGGATAAATTAGCAGAAAATTCAGATAATGATAAAATGAATATTTCCAGAGATTATTATTCAGAATTCGAAATTTCTACATCCGCTGGATCAAATAAGAATAATGATGTTTTCAAAACTATGAGGAAAAAAGGAATTTATCCATATGAATACAGTACTGGCCATAAAGAATGCGACAACTTGTTTTTTGACGATAACTTTTTGAAAACTCAACTTTTCAACTCGAATTTTTTACTGTAGACACATTGGAAAGTTACGAAAACTTGCGTACTTGGAAATTGCATCATCTTGCAAACAAAATTTTTTTTCAATTGTTTTCTTTTTTTTTCATTTTGCATATTTTTCATGATTTTTGGTTTTTTTAAATAAAGTTGAAAGACAACTAATTGGAATTAGTTTTAGTTATTGTTTTATTGTTTTTCAGATATGGTTAGACCATTCGGGAAAAAATCCTTCTCTGTGGACGAGCGAAAAAGCATTGTGCGTGGTCATGAACTCGGCGCGCATCCGAAGATACTTGCAACTCAGTTTAGTTGTTCTTCCAGCCAAATTTACCGTATTCTGAAGAAAAATCGAGATGATGTGAGGTTTCAATCAGCTTTCTCAACTAAATTTAACAATTTAGAATGGCGTTGTTCATCGCCAATCTCCAGGAAGACCCCGAACCACTTCCAGAAATATGGATCGGAACATTTTGCGCGCATGCCGAGAAGATCCTAGACGCACATCTACGGATATTCAACTTTCTGTGACGTCTCCAAATGAACCGGTACCATCGAGAAGAACTATTAGAAGACGTTTGCAAGTTGCTGGACTGCACGGACGAAGACCAGTCAAAAAACCACTCGTCAGTTTGAAAAACCGAAAAGCTCGCGTTGAATGGGCTAAACAGCACTTGTCCTGGGGCCCCCGTGAGTGGGCAAATCACATCTGGAGCGATGAATCGAAGTTCAATATGTTCGGAACTGATGGTATTCAGTGGATTCGACGTCCCATTGGCTCCAGGTATGCTCCACAGTACCAATGTCCAACTGTGAAACATGGAGGTGGATCTGTGATGGTTTGGGGATGCTTCTCCGACACTTCTATGGGACCATTGAAGTGAATCGTTGGAACCATGGATCGATATGTGTACGAAGACATCCTGGAGAACACAATGAGACCATGGGCAAGAGCAAATTTGGGCCGATCGTGGGTGTTCCAACAGGATAATGACCCGAAGCATACTTCGGGTCATGTCGCCAATTGATTCAGACGTCACCGTGTGAACCTCCTAGAATGGCCAAGTCAATCTCCAGACTTGAATCCCATCGAGCATATGTGGGAGGAGCTGGAACGCCGCCTCAAAGGAGTCAGAGCATCCAATGCCAATCAAAAGTTTGCTCAACTCGAAGCTGCTTGGAAGAGTATCCCGATGACGGTGGTTCAGACGCTCCTGGAGTCGATGCCACGTAGATGCAAGGCTGTTATCGATGCGAAAGGATACCCAACGAAATATTAAATCACTTTTTATTGTTACCTTTATTTTGTTTTTGACCTCCGGTGTTTCTTGAGCTTCTTTGTATAGATCTCCAAAAATGTCATTTTCATGAATTTTCGAAAAAAATTAATTTTCAAAAAAATTGTAGCAGAATATTAAAACCAACTTAGCCTAAAAGTTTTTGATAGTGCTGAAAAAATCTTACCAAAAATTCGGATTGAAAAGTTGAGTTTTCAAAAAGTTATCTTCAAAAAACAAGTTGTCGCATTCTTTATGGCCAGTACTGTACATGGATTCATTCAAAAGATATGAAGAAACTAAACTTCCAAGTATTTCTTCATTTTATGATAAACTGAATGACAAAGAATGTTCCCAAAAAGATTATCTATATGCTAAAGTGGTTTGGAATAAGATGAACTGTAAGAATTTAGAAGATTATACTAGGATTTATATGATTAATGATGTTCTTCTTTTAGCAGATGTCTTCGAGAATTTCCGTAATCTAAGTTTAGATAAATATGGACTTGATCCATGTTGGTATTATACTAGTCCTGGATTATCTTGGGATGCTATGTTAAAATATACTAAAGTTAGACTAGATACTATTAATGATACAGAAAAGTTTTTCATGATTGAAGATGGAATAAGAGGTGGAATAGTTAATGCTATTAAAAGATATACAAAAGCAAATAATAAATACACGTCAAAGTTCAATCCTGAGGAAATATCTAACTTCCTTTTATATCTAGATGCTAATAATCTATATGGTTGGGCTATGAAACAATTATTACCTCATAGCAACTTTGTTTTTGAGAAACAAATCCAACTTAGTGTTTTGAATATTTCTATGAATGAAGTAAGCAAATCACAAATTCGGAAATACATAGAAAATCTTAATAGTCAAGGAAAAGGGTGTATTCTAGAAGTGGACTTGGAATATCCAAATGAGTTGCATCGTAAGCATAATGAGTTTCCACTTTGTCCTGAGATAAGAGACTTTGGTAATAATATTAAGAAGTTGTGTAATACTTTGGAGAACAAAAATAATTATGTTATTCATTATCAAAACCTGCTACAAGCTCTAGATCTTGGAATGAAATTGAAAAAAATTAAGAGAATTCTTAAATTTGATGAGAGTAATTGGCTTGCTTCTTATATTGATTTGAATACTGACCTTAGGAAAAAAGCTAAAAATGATTTTGAAAAGGATTTCTTCAAACTTATGAATAATTCTGTTTTTGGTAAGACAATGGAGAATGTTCGCAATAGAGTTGATGTTAAATTAATATTCTCTGGGGAAACTGAATTAATGAAAAATGGAGAAACTCATTACATTTCGAAGAAGGATAGAATAGCAAAGTTAGCTAAGTTGCCTAACTTCAATAGGAATATAATAATAAACAAAGAATATTTCGATTTCAGTGAATATCCTGAATGCCATCCTTTATATAATGTGGAAAATAAAAAAGTAGTTGGAAAATTTAAAGATGAGTTGAATGGTTTAATAATGGAAGAACTTATAGCCTTGAAGCCCAAATCATATGCTTATAAAATTTCTGAAGAAACACGTGAAAACTTAAAAGATTATTACGAGAAAAGAAATCAGGAAGAAAAAGAAAATCCGAAACTTTCAAAGGTACCCAAACCTGGAGAAGAAAATAAAAAGAGTAAAGGAATAAAGAAGTGTGTTGTCAAGAAGTTAAAAGTTGAAGATTTTCGAGAGAGTCTTTTCAATAAGAGTATTGTTAGAAAGAAACAATGTTGTATTCGAAGTATCAAACAACAATTATACACCCAAGAACAGGAAAAAGTTGTGTTTGATAATGAAGAGACTGAAGCAAAATTGCTGAGTTTCAAGAGGATTATCATACCTAATTCATATGAAACAAATGCTTACGGTTTTAGTCCTCAAGAAATGATAAAATAATTTTTTGGAAATCTGTGGATTCCAAAAGTTTCAAAAGTAATAAACAGTAATAACCACAATGATGTGTTCCAAATTCTTGAATTTGAAATGTTGAAAGCTCTATTTTATCTTTTTTATTTCTACTCTTGAGATATTGTTGAAGTTCTGATGGTGGATCTAGTCCGAACGAATCAAAGTAATAAATGTTCTTATTATTCTTGGAGTAGCAAACCCAATGAGTACCTTTACCTTCTGAAGAATCTAAATTTATAATACCAGTTTCTCTTGATAGTACCTTATCCGGCAAAGTATCTCTCATAAAGATTCCTCTGAAGTTTCTTATCTTTAATAATTTTACAAGTTCTTCAAGATCATAATTTGTCAGAGGTTTAAGATTTTCTGAAAAGATCATTTATTTAGCTTTTTTTTTATTCACCGTTCTACCGCATTTTTCTCGACCATCTCGACCATTGGATTTCGACCATATTTTTTATAACGCACTTTTCGACCATTTCCCCATTTTTGAAATTTGCTGAAAATGACACATTTTTTATGACCGAAGGTTAGAAATCAATGAAAATAAGCCTTAAAATGGCTTAAAATGTGTAAAAATTGAAGGTGGTCGAAAAGCTGCGGTAGAACGGCAAAATACATATTATTTGTTGAAATCCAGAATCTTCCGGATTCAACTCCAGTAACTACCCACAAGGACCAACTGTCGAGGAAGTCGACTAATTAATTTTTGTTTTCTTGCGATTCGTTTAGACGATCTCTAATTTTTTAACTTTATGTTTCTTTATAATGTGCCTTACTTTTTTGTTCTTCAATAAGCCTTTAAAATTTAGTTAAATTGTTATTTTCAAACACAAAATAAATTCAAATGGGCTTCATTCAAATAGCCAACACTACAAGTACAGAAACAGCTAGTGTTACGTCCTTAGGATCCGGCATTCTGGCCGGCTCAAGGAATACGAATAGTAGTTATAGAATACAGATTTATTCAGGTACTAAAGATGTACGAGAATAGAGGGGGAAAAGTAGAGAAGGCTGGGAGAGACAGACCGAGAATGGTTGTCAGCCCCAAAGAAAGAGGGGTTCTGACCAATGAAACAACTAAGAAGAAGAGTGCCAGAGAAGGGCGCTCTTCTTAGGTGGGTAGATCACAAATAATTTGGTAGATCAAATATAAAACTAATGGAAGTATGCATAGAATGCAGCAGCTAGAAAAGAAATGGATGAAGAAACTGATTTCTCGACTTCGGCAGTTACAGGTGATTTATTTGGTTTTTGTGTCGTTTCAGGAACATAGCAGAGGCCGTCTTCAAAGGGGATTCTCCCAGAACCACATCCCGAACCTGGTTTTCCAGATTTTGCAGTTTCCGATCTATAAGAAAATAGTTCGTACAGTTAAGCACCCGAACTGTCAAGTTTGAGCTAAATTATCTCGATTACTGTGAAAGGTATCAGAAATTTGTCAACTGATACAATATTGCTGATAATATGATGGATAATTTTTTGTTGACAGATTTTTTATATCTTTTACAAGAATCGAGATAAGTTGGCTCAAAGTTGACGGTTTGAATGAGCTTCTATTAGAGCGGTTACGGTAAAGCTGAAACTTACGGAATATTAGTGACAAGAATCCATGGGTCGTTGGTAGTAGCGCATTGTTTGTTGATGCAGGCGAATTTTGTTCTTCCCGGATTAGTCATGAATGAGGTAACATTTGCGGCATGGTCAACGTCTCGGATGGCTTCGAATTTGGGATTTTTCATGACAATGGCATTATAATCGGCTTTCTCCAGTTCTGCGTCAGCTAAAGTTTCCAGTTCATCATCCAATACCTGAAAATGGAATAATCAAAAAATGTATTCATTTTTACCTGCTGAATGGCAGCTGAAGAGCCGCCGACCTGTGTCCGACTGCTATAGCTAACCTATTTCCTCTAAAAGAGGCCTACCCAAGTTTGAGCTCAATTATCTCAATACCAATTCAAGGTATCATACAATTCTCAACTGATGGATTGTTTATCATAATATCATAACCATTTCATCAGTTGACCCTACTTTGATAACATGCATGGGATTCGAGATAATTGAGCTCAAATCTGACTGGTTTGGTGGGATTCTATCAGAGGAAATACAGTACCCCAGTTTAGAAATTGATGGACCGTTACTTACCAATCTATTCATGTTTGCTAAATTATTCTCTTTTGCGTGTTCTGACCTAATTTTGTTGTACTTGCTCAAGCATGATGCCTTCTGATCTGCCGTCAATAAGTCTCCATTCACTAGAAGAACACATAATTTTAAAATTTTGAATCAAACATACGGCTGATAACAAGAAAAGATGAAACGATGAAGATGGAATTCAGATTCATTTAGAGGCAAAACAGGCAACACAATTTTTGCCTGTGAACGCAGATAGTCAAACGGTATACTCCTTCCACGTTTTCCAGCTCTTCTAGCCGGAAAATTACGGGCATCCTGAAAACAACTTTGAAGATTTTTCATAAAACCGTGAACTTCTTCTCAAAAATTGTCGGGATTTTTTCTGGTTCGACCTAGATTTTACTTTGTGCCTAATTTTTGGGTCTCACAGAACTTAAATGAAACATATTTTTCAGAAACAACCGAGCTTTCTGAATTCCAAAAAATGGAATCATCTACGAATTTCCTAATCAACGAACTTCAAAGGTCCCGATTTGCCCGTATTTAGAACTTTACGTCTTTCGAATTTTACTTTCTGAATCGTTAGATTCTTGAATTTCGGAAATTGGGATTTTGGAATACTAGAAATCTGGAAGTTCAAAAACTAATAAATTTGAAAATTAGGTTCGGAAACCCGTAACTTCAAAATTCAGAACAGTTTTCTAAATCCAAGTCTCTATTCTTTCTAAACTTTTGAATTCCTGAATTTCTAAAAACCAAAGTTTTCGAGTTGTCCGTCAACAGTCCGTTGATGGCCCTTCGGTTCTCCGTCTGCTGCCAACTAGCAGTCATTCGCTCATCTTCAGCTGTCATTCAGCAATTTTTTGACAGTATCTCTTCACCTTATCTGAAAACAGTGAAAACGGGATTCAAGGTTGAATATTATTCCAATCAGCGAATAACTCCAAAAACTGCCCAATTTAATTGTCGGTTCGCATCTTTAACGCATATAATAGGCATTCATTATCTTCCGATTATCCTAATCCCTAGAAGAAGTCTATTCAAAATTTGGGTAAATTCTGGCCCAACATTTCAATTCGTTTCTTTTTCGAATTCTCTCATTTTTTTCACAATATCTTCAAAATTTCTCCACAGATACATCCGAGTGTGTGTAAAATGCCTCAGAGTGTTTTCCCTATCGTCATGCATTTCAAATTACGGTAACCATTGAGATAGTACTAAACACCATTTCAAAAATCTAGGAGACCCAGAGAAATGACTCCCCCGCTTCTAAGGATGAGCTCTCTCTCCAGAAGAGTCGACGGGCTTTACGAGTCAAAAAGAGAAAAAGGAAGAAACTGGACAACTGAGTGCCCGAGAACTTTTTTCTGTGATCATTCTATTCGAATTCGATTAATATTGAAACTCTTCTACTTCCCCCTTCTTCTTTGTTCAGAGCTTTTGCCTTTGAAGTTGTGAAACTTTACATTTCCTTTTTTTCAGAATTTTATCAGTATTGATGTTTTCCTTCAAATGAAATTAACTGATTGCAATGCAATCCCACACATTCACTCGGAGCCGTGGAGTTCCGATCTATATGAATGGATCCGTGTCACATCAACGACTTTATGATCGACTTTCTGAGGTAAAATTCTGGATATCTGCGATTCAGCATAATTAAAATAAAACTTAATGTTTGCCTGTTCAAACGATATACCAATAGAAAGAATTCCCCCTTAATTTTAACTTTGAGCAAACTTTCTAGGTTCCTATTAAAGATATGAAAAAGTTGTCAACGGATAAATTATCTGTGATCCTGAAATCTGACCTTCACGACTTCTGAATACACTGGAAGTTGAAGTTGCACAATGTAGACATGACCCAACAACCTTATGCTAACTTACCATCTTTCAGCCTTCAACATCACGACAACTTCCCAGGAGTATTTCACTTGCTCCAACTGGACATCGTGGAGGATCCAGTAGGCGAGATAGGGATCAGGCTGATGTGAGTAATTTTTCTATTTGATTTGGAAATAAAAATATATGATTTTTTCTAACCACGGCGGTGTCATAGCTGAGAACTTGGAGAATGAGAACTGATACACTTGAGAGCTTTGACAAATTAGAACTCAAGAAAGCAGCGAAGAAAGCCTTTTCGTAACACTTTCGAATCTCAAGAAGCTTATGGGAGCTTAAGCCGGAAAAAACGAGATGATTTCGAAACTTTTCTATCCAAAATTTGTAGCACTTCTAAAGTTGAACTTGCTGAGATGATTCACAACATTTCTTAACTTCCAAATATCCGATTTTCCCAATTGTTAACTTACTGAACTTTTGAAAAACTCAGCTTTTGAGTTCATTTTTTTTGAATTTCCGAATTCACAAATTTTAGAATTTTAGAATTTTCAAACTCTAATATCCGAAGAACTTCCGAATTTCTGAAACTTTGAATTGAGAAATATTCAAAATTCCAAAATCCGTGATTTGAGACCATTTGAATTTCTGAGCTTCTGGACTTACAAATTTCAGAATTTGAGAAATTTTGAAGGGAGTTTTAGAATCTTAGAATTTCAGATTTTCAATTTTGAGAATTTCAGTATTTCATAACTTTCGAATATCTGAATCTTTAAGTATCTGAAACTTTGAACTTTCAAACTTTCAAACTTCCCGAATTCCGGAATTTGAGACTTTAAACTTCTCGATTTGGAAATATCTGAACTTCTGAACTTCCAAATATTAGAAATTTTAGAATTCCAGACTTTTCGAATTTCCGAAATCCGATTTCTTGTTTAACTTTTGAATTGTTATATTTCGGAACTTTCGAATTGCAGAATTTTAGACTTCTAGACTTTTAGGATTTTAGATTTTTAGAATTTCGGATTTTTCGATTTTTCCAATTTTTCAATTTCAAAAACTTTGAATTTTTAATTTTCAAAACACCGAATTCCGGGTTTACTTTTGACTTTTTAACTTTCTGCATTAAAGATTATTGTTTCGAATCTTATGTGTACTGTGGAATTTTCCAGAAAGATATTTTTTAAAACTAATCTTTAAAAAAATCTGAAACTAATCTGATTGATCTTCATTCAGAATTCCCTACCTCCAACTTTCATCCCTCGATTTCACGACGAATCTGCAGTAAGAAGAATGAATTATCGACCAATTCCTGGTACAGATATTCGAATATCCAAAATTGGATTCGGTAAGATTCGATTATCGATTTAACGAGTTATGCTTTGAATTTTTAGGTGCTGCTGCAATTGGTGGAATGTTTGGAAACGTAGAAGACTCTATAACACGAATAGTGGAAACAGCTATCAAACAAGGTTAGTGATTTTCTTTGACCTGATTTAAAAAATATAAGAATCTCTCTAACAGGAATCAACTACATAGATACCGGATATTGGTACAGTCAGAGTCGAAGCGAATCTATTCTTGGGAAAGTATGAACTCCAAAAAAAATTTACATTTTCAAATTTTTCTTTTAGGCTCTATCGAAAATTCCGAGAAAATCGTATTACATCAGTACAAAAGTTGGGCGGTTTGAACTGGATTACGCTAGAACTTTCGACTTTCGAGCCGATAAAATTTTGGAATCACTGACGAATTCGTTGAAAAGATTACAGCTGACCTATATCGATATTTGTTATGTCCAGGTGACAAAAACCTATTTTTTTTGGTGGGAAAATGCTGTGGTTTCAGATCCATGATGCAGACTTTGCTCCGAATGAATCGATAGTACTGTACGAAACATTGCAAGCTCTGGAGATGGCAAAAGCATCTGGGAAGATTAGACATATTGGGTTAACAGGGTATCCTCTAGCTAAGCTTGTGTAAGTTTTAATTTGTTTAAACTCACTATCAATACAATGTTTATATTTTTCCAGACAGTTAGTGGATTGCTGTACAACAAAAATAGACTTTGTGATGACCTATTGCAAAGGAGCATTAAATAACAACTCTCTTGGACAATTCACTTCTTGGTTTCAAACTCGAAATATTGCTGTTATAAACTCAGGAGCACTTTGTTGGGGACTTCTCACTGAGAAGGGTCCGCCTCCTTGGCATCCAGCAAGCGATGAAATCAAAGAAGCTTGTCTAGCAGCTACTACATATTGCTCGGTTAGTTTTATTTAAAAAGGGATTTCTAATTGAAATTGTTTTTTTCCAGTCCAAAAACATCAGCATATCGAAACTAGCTCTGGATTATGCTTTGAATTTTCCCAACATTGTCTGCTGTCTTGTGGGAATGGATAGTGTTCAACAGGTTCTGGATAATCTTGAACTGGCGAATTTTTCAAGGATAACTGACGTTGAGCAAAGAGTACGGGATCGAATTATGAGACGGTGAATATATAAAAATTGTACATTGAAACATCTGGCTTTCAGATATTTGGATCGGTTAGAGAATGCTGGATGGGAAGGAGTGGATGTCGCTCAGTACTGGAAGAAATTGAAAAAACTCGGATTGACTGCTCTTGCAACACATCGACATTCTTCTGTCGAAAGTCTTGCGAGTACATTGAACGGGTTTTCTCTATATTCATCGAATTCGAGCTCAGAACTAAGAACGCCTCGCAGACGTCGTCCATTATGATGTTATACGTTGTTTTTTGATTTCAGGGTACCTATTGTAATTACTATTTCACTTTATAGTTTTTTTTGTAAATCTTTTATTTCAACAGGTCTCTTCCGTCATTCAAATTTTAAATTCTTTCTAAATGGCCGTTTATCTGATCTGTATCAAAATAAACATGTATTTTCACCCAATATGGAAAATCCGCTCTTCTGGGAATAAATTCTTCCGATATTCTGTGTTTTCTCGATCATCGGACAAGCATCTCTCTGGAATTCGAAATAGCCGAAATCTTCAATGTTATGAAAATTTGCAGCATTTAAAGGTGGGGGGACATGAAAAAAATAATGTTCTCGAAATTCCGTTCAAAGATGCCCCTCGAGGAGTTGAACTTGTGAGGGCGATGATTGAGGGTGCGGCGCCGCTACCGACTGAGCCACGCGGGCAAAGATAAAGCGGACTCCCGATTGCATACATAAAGGCGAGGACGACAGCTGTACGCAGAGTGACATTAAGCGTTGTACACCGTGACGGTAGAATGCATACTCTAGCTACAAAAAAACTACGAAAAATCTCCTGTCCCCCCACCTTTAATGTTTTTTTTTCAACTTCACAGTTCAGATAAACATTTTCAAAAGCATATTATGCTTGTCTGAGAAAAAAAGGTTAGAGTATTTTTTGCAGTCTGAATACGGTAGCGATATCGAAGCGGAGAGCCTAAATAGGACAAACGGTGGAGACGCATACACATTTTCTCTGCGTCTCAACCTTTTTTTTCTCAGACAAGCATAATATCCTGTTCCGATTTTTTATCAGCCCAAAAACTTCTGTGACAATAGTATTTCGAAAAATGTTGCTTTTTGAAGTCAAAGACCTTCCCAACTTCCCACCGTTTCCAATTTTTCACAATAGAGAAATTTCACTGCAATTTTCAATTCTATCTTTTCTCTGTGTCGATTTACGGGGAAAACGGCGACTGCGTATCACACTCGTGTGCTGAACGACCGCTGCGCAGCGCCTGGTCTCACCACGATTTCTCTTTTCTCGTTTTCTTCACTGTTTCCCTAGTTTTGGGATTTTTCTCTTTTTTAACCTATTTTTTTCGATTTTTACCGGAATTTCGGTAAAAAATTGGGAAAATGTTATTCTAACGTATTCAAATCATTAAGCAGCTTGCTTTTCACAACCCTTGATTGACGAATTTCGTTTCCTAAATTTTCGTTTTTTTTCCTTTTCAGTCAATTTTCATAAATAGTGTGGAAACTTGGGAAAAATATTGTGTTCATGACAGAATTAAGGCGCAAAATTTCGTCTCATGCTCAACTTCTCGCCACTAAAAAAACATTTTTCAATATTTTCCGGTTGTTATTCGTTCATATTTTTTATTCAAATTCAATCTCTAATATTTCCAGGTAATCATGCAAAACGACGCCGGACAAACCGTCGAGCTCTACGTTCCACGCAAGTGGTAAGTTTTCGATTTGTTTGAGTGGTGAATGCAAACAGTTGTTCGTTTTACTTCAAACGAAATTCTAAGAAAAATACGCGTCTCAATGAATTTTTTTCAGCTCCTCGTCCAACCGTATCATCGGACCAAAGGACCACGCCGCTGTCCAAATCGACTTCGTCGATGTTGACCCAGAAACTGGCCGCATGGTATTCTTATTATTCAATGGTTCATGAATTCAATTTATAATTTTTCAGATCCCAGGAAAGTCGACCCGTTACGCCATCTGCGGAGCTCTTCGCCGCATGGGAGAGTCCGATGACGCCATTTTGAGACTTGCCCAGAAGGACGGACTCGTTCCAAGAGATGAGCTTAAGTCCAACTGAGTAACTGTTTACTATAAATTGTTATTGTTCTGAAGATGTTTTTGACGCATATTATGAAATGGAATTTGGAATTGAAGAATAAGAAAGTCCGAAAAAGTAGAAGGAATTCTAAACTTTCAAAAAAAAGTACAATTCAGAAAGAACTAGAATTGGAGAAATCTGGTCTTGCAGGTGAAAAAAACACTTGTAAAATCAGGCACATGTATCCCGCATTTGAACGAAAATTAAAATTTCAGAACAATCTTATTTTCCTTCATTTCTTTCTATTGTCCCCGAAAATTTCCTGAATAGACGTGAAGAAATTATTGAAACCCCTAAAAATTCTGAAAAAGGCCCGGCTAGAAAAGAAACATTTTCATTTAAAAAGTACTTTATTTAGTATACTTAGAGACAAACTGAAATCGCAATATTTTCATCATAGGATTTGAAATTTATCCAGATGGCCAGGGAAATCCAATGCATTCCCCGTTGCTACAGTATGTGTCCGGTGGGCAAGTGCCGCAATCGGATGAATGGATGGCACGAACCGGGATTGAATCCATGCATCTTCCATCAATACAGTGTACGCAACGAGAAGAGCAGATACTGGGATTCAACAATCCTTCGGAAACAGCGATCGAAATCGGTAGAAAAATCTGTAAACTTTTCGGACATTATGAATATATGAAAAATAACACATACCAGAAACGTCTTCATTGTGACACAATTTTTCAACAGAAACGGTTCAATTTATATCCACATTTGCTTCAATCGTTGTATTCTTCTTTTATGATGGTTTCAAAGGATTCAGAATTGTCGGAGAAAACAATTTGTATTGTTCCATTCGAAATGACTCACATTGGCGAACAAAAGCTGTTGCTTGAGTTTTCTAACCACAAAACTGCATACAAATGATTTCAGGAGAAAAAAAAATCGTACTATGTTAACAGTTAGTCTGAAAAAGAGGGTGATTTCAGGTAACTGTCTTATCATCTGATCGTGATGTTCTTCCGACTGATAACCTTTCGCCACCGATGGTCGCCTTTCCCTTTTTCGAAAATGATTGCAGTTTTCAGCGAGTTTCGAGCTGCTCACTGCAATATTTGTTTATTACGACAAGACCAATAATTCAGCGAATTATGAAAGTCAGATTAGTTTTTGGAGCTCTATTTATTCTGCTTAATTCAAGACGGCCAGCCTCAGCTGCTCCGATAGGAGTGACAGTTAAAGCGAGTTATGATGAGCAGATTATAAATGTGATAGGTTCGTCATCATTGCCGATTTTGTGGCGATCGTCTATGAAATAATTTGAAAAAATCACTGAAGATCCTGTAATATAAGCACCGTGCTTCTATTTTTCAACCTCTTTCGCATCGAAAATTATGAATCAACAGCAAACAAATATTCTGGAGAATGTTAAAGGATTTGCCGTAACTTTCTGTTACGAAAAATCGGAGCTGTGGAAGAGAAACACTGGGGAAATTGATCGAAGGTCCCACAACGACAACCACAGTAACCCACATTTTTTTTGTAATTTTCCGTATTTATTTTTGTCGGGTTTTCCTGTTATTTTCCCCGAAAGTCGGAAAATATAAATATTGATAGCGAAAAAAAATTACTGAAAACGCACGTAAACTAACAAAAAGAAATCCTTCAGTTAAAAATATTTTGAGGTTGATGTAGTTTTCGTCGTGGGGCCTTCTGCCACGGCCACCGGCGTTCCTCTTCCACAGCTCCGATTTTTTGTACCACAATAATTCGGCAAATCCTTTAACAAATTTCAGTTTTTTCAACATTTGAAAATTAATAATCTCAAAATATTAATTTCAGTGTGGATCTGCCCGGACCCAAATCTCTATTTCATGATTGAAAGTTCGCTTCAAACATATAGAACAGTGGATGACATCAACAAATCCGTTCAAGACAAAGTTTCCGGTTACCGTAATGCGAAATGGCTTGTGAATACCGTAAACTACAGTAGGACAACAGCGAATACAGCGCCAGGTGCCAACCGTGCTTCACAAAATTTGTGTTTTGTTCAAGCTCCTGACGAAGGAATCATAGTTTTTGTAGCTGCTGTTGTGTCATAAATTATTTGAAATCTTTTGAATGAATTTATTTATTAAACATTGATTTTCTTAGCAGCGAAAGATATTACAAAGAAAAATTATAAGAAAATTATTCAGAGTCCGAGTCGGAACCATATCCAGCAAGAAGAGAGAGGCCCGATGGAGCAGGTTGAGAAGTAGAGGGTTTAGAAGCCGAGGGAGTTGTGGAAGTAGTTGGAGCAGAAGAAGTAGTAGCTGATGATGTAGTTGGTTCTGTTGGCTGAAAGATATATTGGTTGTAGGAGAAGAAGTCAGAACAAAAAACTATTGACGTCGGTATGGAATACAAAAAGATACCAAAGTGAAATCAATTACTTACCTTTACTTTCTTGATCAATTTTATGCCCGCGAACCGATCCTTCTGATCAAATCGTTTTCTCGAATTCGTCGCTTCTTCCATTCCGAGTGCTGGTATCGCAGGTTTCAACATTGACGCAGCCCATGTGCTGGGTCCAGGAACATCTTTTTCTTCATCCTTATCATCGTCTTCATCATCATCATAGTCTTTAATACGGCGTTCAATGCGTCCATCAGATGTGATTCCCATTAATTCTCTGAAAATGATCAAGCATTAGAACTTTTGGGAATCTTTTTTCAGAAACTAACCTTGCCATTCGATCGTCCTCATCTTCCATCATTTTGATTCGTTGAGCTTGTGCAAGATGTGGATCAGTAGACGACAGGAAACCAATCGTATCTACACACTCTTTTGTTCTGCTTGACTCTTGAAGGTCTTCCAGATTTCCCATTTCTTCCATTTCCTGCCGACTTTGCATTGTTCGCTTTTCGAGCATTTTCATAGGATCTTTTGCATCTTCCGCTTCTTGCTCATCTGCTTGCTTTTGTTGGTCTTGGTAGAGCTGAAAAATTGAAATTCATGATATGGTCCGTCAGATTTTTCGAACTCATTCAGCCGCATCGTGAGCTGTCACATAATTCAGTTAAATGACTTTTCAGATGTCACCCACTAGATAAAGGGGCGTCCGCTAATTTTTAAAAACGAGTGATCTTAAGAACGAGTGATTTTCGGTCTATCCTCCAAGAGAGTTTTCTTCCCGACCAAAATTCTGGATCGATTGATATAAAAATCTTTAAAATTTTGGAATTAGCGGACGCCCCCTTTAACCTCCCACGGGGTTTTTTATACATTTCATTCCCACCCAGAGTTTCACTTGTCAAACCTAGCACGTGCTTGTGTTTTATCGAAAATCCAACAGCTTCTGTTCAATTTCCGAGTCATTATTCTTCTTGTTCGATCCGGTACCTCCCTCTAACAGACGACGTTCATGAAAAATGACGTGTTTCCTCATTCCACAGAAATATCCGATTCTATTCAGATCATCTAGCTTCTACTGGATAAGCTTTGGGATGTTTTATTTTTCCGATCATCATAACTTTTAAATAGATTGTAGGGTTTCCAAAAAAAAAAACGTAACTGGGTGACATAAGAACAACAATTGCTCTTTGAGAGTATTTATACACTAGGCAATCTTAGTTTAACTAATCCGTTTCGAATTTTTAGAGCGATATTTATCAAATGAAAATTTTATGTACAACAAATCTAGGTTATAATAATTTCTTCTAATTATATTATATTTTTCGCGACTCGGGTCTCCAAGACGAGAAACATGTTGTTTATTATTTTGATATCCCACAAGCTCCTTTCTCACTAATTATTAGTTACCAGTTTCTGACTTATGTTTCGCCTCGCTTCATTCCTTCTTCTTCTTCACAAACTAACAAACCTCAGCATTAAAGTCCATTTTACGAGGCGTCATGGCGACTGGATCGATGCCTCTTCCCAACTTTTTCTACTTTGTACCACTTGGCGGAATTTGGTGCTCAACGGCTCCGAGTTACTACACGCTCGTTGCTATCCCAGTGAGTCAAAATCTCTCTTGACAACATCTTTTGAGTCTTGACAACATCCCCCTACAATTCAGACTCCCATAGTCATGAGTGCTCCTCCAACTTTGTTACCACCTACTAACAATGGTGCTACTCCAAATATCACGTTCTCTCAATCTGATGACGAACCAATGCACAAGCTAGAACCAGAAAAACCAATGGATTATGACGTTGAAAAGGAAACCTCCTTGGAAATGAAGAGACACTTTGAAGAAGTTGACTATTCAGGTGGGTTTTGTGAACTACTGGCAGAGAGGAAAAAACTACATTTTTCTAGATATGCCACAGCTAACGAGGATGGATTGCTAGACGACAAAGCAGATTACCCCGATCTCAATTCTCCGAATCTCATTTAAATGCAATGCTCCTCTATTTTTTTCTGGTAGAAAACTGCAATAAACTATACCTTGACTGCTTCGAAAAGTCTTGTGGCTCCGTGTTCATTCTGGTAATCACAGTTCTCGAGATCTGTTTTGAAAGTAATTTCAGCCAGGCAATTCGGACACCGGAAGTAGAATCGAAAGATTTTGAGTCCGAGATATGACTCTCCTTCCGCAGTCTCACGTTTCATATTGAACTTTTTACCTGGAACAACAATTTCGATCTCGAATAATAGTGTTTTAGTAAAACTACCTTTGTAAATGTACTCATGACATGTGTTGCACTGCATATTGAACGGTGTCATGACACGCTGAACGAATTGTCTGGAAAAATATACATATTATCTTAAAACAAACAATTAAAATCATACCTGTTTCTTTGCCCCTTTGCTCTAGGTATTTTTGATGGATCGAAATCCGGTGGATAGTATTTCTGAAAAATTGAAATTCAGTGTTTTTGGGGGGAAATTCATGGTCCCAGAACCCTTAAAAATTAATGTAAATACTTACCTGGAAGACTTTACGCTCGGTTCCTGTCATTTTCGATCACCTGAAATCAATTTAATGAGACAATCGAGAAAAGCGAAGCAAGACAAATTTTGCAAATGACATCAAAAAGTTTCGTAACGAGAGGGAGAGACTACGCATTTTGAAGAGACGGAGAGAAAAATCTCACTGGAGCGTACTAAGAAACTAATCAATTTTTGGGAAAAAAAAGAACAAATAATCATACTTGTAAAATTCCGGGCCGGCCCGCCAAAGCCCGGGCCTGAGGAAATTTTCAAGGCCCGGGCCCGGCCCGAAAGGCCCGGTAACAAAAATTTTGTCATTTTGAGCCAAATTTTGATCTCTCAATACAATTTTCTCCATTATTTTTTGTGTTTTTGGATTGTTTGTCTGTTTGTCAAAAAATATCAAAAAAAAACTCGAAAAAAATGTTTTGATCGAAAAAAATCACATAAGGGTCCCCCCTTATGTGTTTTCTAAAATTTTCAAAACTTGTGGAATGACAGGCCCCGCCGGGCCTCTGAAATCCGAGAAAAATCTCGGCCCGGCCCGTTACAAGTATGGGCAAAAGTCTTTTTGGCACCGGAAAATAAATAAAGGAAAAATGCAATAATGGAAAAAAATAGGCAATTGGTGAACCTTTATAAGGGAACGAAGGATGAGCAATATTGAAATATAAAATGAGGGATTGGGTTCAGAAGGTTCAGTTTCTATAACAAATGAAAACTCCAGTAACATTTCCAAATCAAAATTTAAAAAAAAGAATTTGGATTATTATTGACTTTTTGGAAC